ATGTAGCAAGGTTTTTTTTTTTTTGCTTATTTTGTTTTTATAATAAATAAAAAGAAAACAAGTAGAAATAATAGAAAAAGAATAGGGAATGCTAGTGTTAGAGGGTCATTTTAAAATAAAAATAAAACAATTAAATAGAACAGAAAAAGAACAGATAATGCTAGAGTTAGAAGGTTATTATTTATAATAAATAAAAAGAAAATAAGTTGAAAGAATAGAGAATGCTAGTGTTAGAGGCTTTTTTTTCTTTATAAATAAAACAAGTAGTTAGAATAGAGTGCTAGAGTTAAATCAGTGGTTAAGTTGTATTTACAACACTGTTCCAGAACAATTCAACCCAAATATTCAGATGTGTGCAGCGCATTTTATGGAGGACTGTTTCCTGATCCTGGGAGAGTAGACTACAATGCCGACTGTTCTGACTCACAGACTGTAATGTTTACGTGGCGCGATGCAACGCAACGCGTAAAAAGACAGTATAAGTCATTATAATCCGTAATTATGTCCCCATTGGATGCAACAAATGCCTCGTTTATAATGGGTTTTAATGTTTTTGTCTCGTCGTTCCGGCCGGACGGCATCACAGTATTGAATTGAATTGAACTTCTTTATTGTTACTGTATGCATACAACTTTCATTGTACCCACCAACAAAATTTCACATGCAAACTCCACACTAAATGCAGTTAAAAAAATTTAAAATAAATAAATAAAAGTAACAATCTAATATATAATATTACAACACACAACACACTTAATAAGCAATACTATAAATCAATCAATCAATGACCCACAAAACTTATTCAATTACTATTACAACTCTAAAAAAAAGTTTGTTAGCTTGATTCAGAGCATTAACGGCTCTGGGAATAAAACTGTTCCTCAAACGTGAAGTACGGGCATAAAATGTCTTATAGCGCCTACCAGACGGCAGTAGCTCAAACATGTGGTGGCATGGATGTGTAGAGTCCTTACAGATGCTGATAGCCTTTGCTAGACAGCGTGACCTATAGATATCTTCTAATGCTGGTAGTTCAACTCCGATTATCCTCTGTGCTCACAAGACAACCCTCTGGAGTGCTTTCCTATCATTAACTGTACAGCTAGAAAACCATACAGAAATGCAATATATTAGAATGCTTTCTATAGTACACCGATAAAAAGTGATCAGCATCTGTTGAGGCAAACAAGCTTTCCTTAATGTCCTTAAGAAAAACAGTCTTTGCTGAGCTTTTTTTACCAATGTCGTGATATTTGTGGATCAAGTAATGTCCTCAGAGATGTAATGTGCCAAAAAACTTGAAACTGGATACTCTCTCCACTCCGTCCCCATTGATAAACACTGGAGCATATTCCAGCTGCTGTGCTCTCCCAAACCTGATGATTAACTCCTTAGTCTTCTCTGTATTCAGGGTAAAATTGTTCTTAGAGCACCAGCTTACCAAGTTCTCTATCTCCCCTCTGTAGGCTGATTCGTTGTTGTTAGTAATCAGTCCAATCACTGTTGTGTCATCCGCAAATTTAACAATAATGTTATCAGAAGATGCAGGAACACAATCATGTGTGAAGAGGGAATAAAGGATGGGACTCAGTACACATCCTTGCGGCATGCCAGTGCTCAATGTTATAGTTGAAGACAATTGTGTGCCCAGTCTCAACACCATATATGTATATATATATACATATATATATATAATAATGAACGGAGTCCTAAGTCATGAAGTTTAAGAATAAGCATGCTGGGTATGACAGTATTAAAAGCAGAGCTAAAATCGACAAATAACATTCTCGCATATGTGCCATGTCTATCCAAATGGGACAAGACAGAGTGAACAGTCAATGAGATGGCATCCTCTGTAGATCTGTTAGCCCTGTATGCAAACTGATACGGGTCCAGAGAGGTAGGAATAGCAGTCTTAATGTGTGAGAGAATCAGTCTTTCAAAGCACTTCATTATTACTGGAGTTAGCAACTGGACGATAGTCATTCAAGGTACTAATGTTTGTTTTCTTTGGTACTGGAACAATAATTGCTGATTTCAAGCACTTGGTGTCTCTTGCCTGCAATAAAGACAGGTTAAAGATGCTTGTAAATACCCCCGCTAACTCTCCAGCACATTCTTTAAGTACCCGTCCTGAGACTCCATCTGGGCCTGTAGCTTTCCGTGGATTAAGCCTCCTCAATGCACACTGTACCTCATGCGTACTTCGTGCAAGTGCCTGTTCATCCTCTGCTGCAGTAATTGTTGTATCTGTTGTGGTGTTGTCCACTTCAAATCGCGCAAAAAAGGTGTTAAGCTCGTTAGTCAGTGTTACATCATCATTGGGACAGACAGAGTTTCTCTTATAATCAGTAATACTCTTTATACCTTGCCACATACTCCGAGTATCAGCACTGTTGAAATGATTTTCTACCCTTCGTCTATAGATGTCTTTGGCCTTTTTTATGCCCTGGCCCTGTAACTTTCCGTCGATTAAGCCTCCTCAATGCACACTGTACCTCATGCGTACTTAGTGCAAGTGCCTGTTCATCCTCTGCTGCAGTAATTGTTGTATCTGTTGTGGTGTTATCCACTTCAAATCGAGCGAAAAAGGTGTTAAGCTCGTAAGTCAGTGCTACATCATCATTGGGACGCATCATCTGGCCAAACTGTGATGAGTTTTTGAACTGGTTTGGCGAGTTTCAGAAGTGGTCTGTATGCTGGAGTACAGGCGGGGTACAGCCTTGTATGCGTTCTTTTCTGTTGTGTAAACAAAGTCCAGTGTGTTTTCAGGAAGTACGACCATATCAGTCCGGTTCTGTCAACTCTGCACTGACTCCCTATTAAACATCAAATACATTTTAAAATCTTGCTAATTACTTATAAAGCCCTGAATGGTTTAGCTCCTCAATACCTGAGCGAGCTCATATCTCTTTATAGTCCTTCACGTCCGCTGCAATCTCAAAACTCTGGCCATTTAATACCCAGAATATCAAAATCAACTGCTGGTGGCAGATCCTTTTCCTATTTAGCGCTCAAACTCTGGAACAATCTACCTAGCCTTGTTCGGGAGGCAGATACACTCTGTTAGTTTAAATCTAGATTAAAGACTCATCTCTTTAACCTGGCATGCACATAATACACTATCAAACTATCATACACTCATTTTTAGGCTGCATTAATTAGGTCAACCGGAACCGGGAACACTTCCCATAACACCCAATGTACTCGTTACGTAAGAAGAATGGCATCTACGCTAATATTAGTCTCTTTCATTCTTATTCCGAGGTCACCGTAGCCATACGGATCCAGTCCAT